CCTCAAAAAGTTAAGCATTGAATCACCGTATGACCCAACAATTCCACTCCTAGGCATACACCCAAAAGAATTGAAAACAAGACTTCGAAAAGATATTTGTGTGCCAACGTTCACGGAAGCATTATTCACGGTAGCAAAAGGTGGATGCAACCCACATGTCCATCAGTGCATGAATGGATAAACAAATGTGGCATGTAAATACACATATATGTGAATTTATTCAGCCTTTAAAGAAATGAAGCTCTGATACATGCTACTCGGGTCAACCTTGAAAACACGATGCCGAGTGAAACAACCAGACACAAAGGACAAACGTGGCGAGTCCCACTGACCTGAGGTGTCTGACCAGGCAAACGCGTGGACTCCGTAGAACAGAGGTCGCCAGGGACTGCAGGAAAGTAGAAGTGGGCAGTCGTGGATTCGCAGTTAGTGTTTGCTGTTCGATGAAAAAGTTTTGGAAATAAATAGTAGTGATGGTTACACAGCATTTTGAATGTACTTAATGCTGCCGAATTGAACACTTAAAAATGGCTAAAACAGTAAACTTCATGCAATGTGTATTTTAGTATAATTTTTTTGAAAAGCTCATGAGAAGATGTCGAGGCCTGTGAGGCTGGAATGCAGAGGAAAGGAGGGGACATTCGGTATCTAGGACTAGAATCCACAGAAATTGTTCGTTGACTGGGGCTGGGCGTGTCTGGTGTTGAGACCTTGGGTGACTCCGTGTGACATTGTCACAACTAACCGATGACACAGACTGGAGGTCAGGGCTGGAGTGCCGGGCCAGGCCTATTCAGTCACAGTCCCTTTGTATTCAAGGTGTCTGTGGGATCTCATGGTATAATAAAAATGGGATCTGATGGTGACATCAGTGACATCACCCCATTTACCGTCATAGACGACTCGGCTGAAAACATAAACAAGCAAATAACTGACATTTACTGGTCCTGCGCGAGGTACCAGGCACCGTGTTGAGCACGTTGCACGCGTGATTTAATCCTCTCAACGCCCTGGGAGACGTGACTGCCTCCTCTCACACGCCGTACGCTGAGCCGCGCCAGTCGTTTGCTACTGCCTAAAAACACCCTGCACTGTCGGACCCCAACACCTGTGTTCATTTCTGATCCCTAAGGCCACAGCGCCCTTCTGCCACCTCCCTGCCCAGATTCACTTCCACGCATCCCCCAGAGCCCCCTCCAAGGCCACCGGTTCCACCGAGGGCTGCAAGCTGCCTCGCTCAGCGCGGATCATGTCCCCCCGGTCCCCACTTAGTCTCCTGAGAAGCGGCCTTCAGAGTGATGTCTCCCCGGTAAGACTGTGGGCTCCTTAGTCTCTGAATTTCCATCCACACTTCTCAAAGCGCCTTTCCTGCAGAAGCGCTCTGTGAACGCCGGTTTTTAATGAATGGATGAACTGAGCTTTAAAAGGGAAGTACGTAGCTAAGGTTACAGGGAACCTCATCTGTACCTCAGGAACAGAACTCAGACCCGCTGGTCTCCCTGCTACACTAGGGGCTTCTGTCTTTCCAGCTCTGCGTAGAAATTTGCATTCTAAAATCAACGCAGTCCGTACAGGGGCGCATCTGGGTTCCTTCTGCCGTATTAAAAATTCACGGCCGGGAATACTGGGGGCCTCGAGGCTTCCTTCCACTCATTTACTCTCTCGTGCCCCGACTAGACCACGTGATGCATAAAGGAGGGAACTGGCTCCTTTTAATTTCTTGCTGTATACCTAATTTCGGGCACAGTGCCTGGGACGTGGCAGGTTCTTAATAAATATTTGTGGAATGAGTAAGGAACCCACTACTTCTTACTGAGAAGCCCCCAAAGCTATCGAGAAGAGTGAGCAAACCCTGCTCTCTCGTTTGCTGAGCTAAGGCTCGTCTCTCTCACAGGCAATTAAATTACCCGTCCCGCATCCATCGACGCCACACTCACCTCTCTCGTGCGTCTCTGATAAGAGCCTCCTGTGTCAGGGAGAGAAAAAAACCAAAACAGTGTTAAAGCTCAGCCTGACTTCTCCTGCATACCTAAAAAGTCTTTTACTGCACTGTCTGCCGGACCTTTTCCCAATCCTTGCCCAAAAGGAGCTTATCTCTATAATCCTGTCCTACATAACGATTCCCTTCCCCTCATTTTTCTTTTCCTTCCCCGCCGTTCCTAGCCAAGCGCCCCTCGCTGTTCTAATCCTGTTCGGCGTCTCTCAGGATTCCTTGACACGGTCTTATCGATGTTGAACCCTGAAGCTGGACATCAAAGGAATAAAGCCTGCAAAAGTATCGATTCTGTCACAGATGTGCTCACTACTCCGTGTCCCAGATCTGTGTGTGTGTGTGTGTGTGTGTGTGTGTGTGTGTGTGTGTGTGTGAACTGCTCTCCCTTCGGCCCGGGCACCGAGCCTACGCTGAACAAAACATCAAGCATCTGCAAGCGTTCTCGGCTACATTTTTTAAAGACCTTATCTGCGTGCGTCAGCGAGTGCGAGGGTCTGTTCTATTGGAACCGGATGCACCTGTTCGTCTTGGGGCAGCCGAGCCTGTGAGCAGCGGAGAGGGCCGGGCGCGAGCGGAGAGGTGGGGACCAGCAGACCAGAAGGGCAGGCAGAGGCGGAGGAGGGAGGCCCGACACGCATCTCGCCTCAGCTGCCGGCCTCTCCCCGCGTTGGACTCCCGGCGTTTCCTCTCTGGCACGACTTCCTGATGGAATTTACACAGATGCAGACAATTATGCCTTTGAAACGCAAAATTTGGCTTCCAAAGCAGCTTATCCCATTGTCTACACAGATGCCACTCGAGTGAGAATTTGGGAAATTCAAGCGTTTAGAAAATGGCATCCTCCATCTGTGCCAGGCCCTTTCGAGCTCAGAACATTCAAAAACAAAACGAGGCTGTGGGCCAGGCGTGGGTGTGCACCCACGGGCGGTGGGTGGCCCCCTCGGGCCCAGCGGCCGGAACATGCAGGCAGCTGCCTCTCCTCGCACGTGTGGTTCGGAGCTGCTGGACTCCAGTGAGGGGAAGCACGGTGTCCTGCGGTTGCCGTCGGTATAAATCGACGCTGGTTCTCTAAGAAGAGTGTGTCTGTGAGTTAAACGGCCCGAGAATGAAGGGAGGCCTGGCCAGCCCTTTCCGGCAGCCCTCGGGTCAGAGGCAGCGTTGGAAAACAGCTCCTGGGGCTCAGATAAGGAGATCAGATAGGCGCTTTCCAGAGCGTGCCAGGCTCAAGACAGCGACAGCAAAATCTGACTCCCACCTTCTGGGTGTTTCTGTTTCACTGCAGAAATGCCATCACACATCAAGAAATTGGTTTTACAAAAGGCATGTTTTAAACTTGGCTCCGCAACTTCCGGAGGGAAGTTCCTCCCTGGTACTTGTTTCAGGGAAGATGGAGAAAACGTGAAAGAAATGAGAGTGAACCAGGAGCCTCCGCACCCCCAGCCAGGCCCTGCTGTCGGATCTCCCCGGCCACTGCCCCGCGTTGGCAGCGGGGGGAGCAAATGCTTTTCCCTAATTCGGGATTCAAGTCTGAAGTCCCTGGGTTCCAGGAAAATGGATACAAAAGTGCTCCTATGTATACACTGACGGCTTCGTTAGTTTTTGCAAAAATGCCCATCACTTTCCTTGGGTTCGAAGGGTCCGTAGACCAAAGCGGGTTAAGAACTGCATTGCCCTGTACCCCGCATTATTTCACAGTTCCCGTCATCGGGAACAGAGACCCTAAAGCAGAGGTCGGATAGTGGAAGAATGAACCTCACCTGCTGCCTAATTCCCTGAATAAAGAGACCAGCACCCACCTAGCTTCCCTCCTGAATGACATCATCCCAACCTCTCTCCTGGATAAATGACATACGGACCAGCTCTCCCACCACCACCATCTCTGCCCGTTCATTCATTCATTCCTTTCCCGATACGCGGTACATTTCATATCAGCCTTCTCCCTGCCCGCCCACCCCAGGAGGAGCAGGCCGGGTTCGGGTGTTCTGTTGCAGATGGACTCCCCACCGTAGCTGCTCCCTCCAGGGAAAAGAACCTGGACTGAAACTGGGTCCGTCTTGTTCTTGTTTCCATTCTTAAAAACACCTGCAGGGATTGTCATAGTCCAGGACTATATAAAGGCATAAAAAGAATCGAGATGATGAGTCTGTCTAAGCCCACACACCTGGGCAGCCAGCCATCGACACGGTCCTCTCTGCGGCAGCTGCGGTTCTGACGGCGACACTCGCAGGCAGGGAGACAGGACAGGAGGACGGAGCTCTGCCCACACTCTGCTTCTGCTGCTGTTGCCACCCTCTCCCCACCCCCAACTATTCAGTTCCGTACATCAATACTAATACAATAATTGAAAACACTTGCTCTCTTGTTTCCACTCTGCAACGTCTCGAGGTTGAGGCTTTCTGCAGAGAACCGTCATCCGGCACAGTTCCACAGCGATCGTCCTGTCTTTCCTATTTTGCTGATACTCCAGGGCGATATTTTATTTATTATCCAGGAGAAACGCTAAACCGTGACAACAGGTGTAGACCATGGTGATCTTTGGTCCCATTCACAGCCAAAGGGAGCCGAAGACCGCCATCGTCTGCGCAGAGCCGCGCGGGGCCGAGTGATCCACTCTGCCCCGCCACCCGCTGCAGCGGCGCTCCCTGCCTCGCGTGGGGTCTCTCCCGGCCGGGCTGCGACGGTGGAAGGTGCTCTGAAGCAGGAAGATAACAAGCCCCAAGTTAAGCACTACCTGAAACAGAAAAGTCTCCCATTTTACAGACACCGTGAACTCCAGGCCACTCCCTACGTTGCGTTACCAACATTCCTTTGCTGCGACCAGCGGCCGTGTGGCTACTTGACCATCCCATGTTCTTTCCACGTAGAGCAGACCGTGTTTTATTTAACGCCTGCTTTTCTCCAGAAATTACAGGCAAATTCAAGGCCTCATTCGATAGTCGCTTTCGAGAGCTGGCGACACAACAACACAACCCAGCCCCACGTTCAACGTTCTATCTTCTTCCCACAGATCCGAAACGTGGCGGCAAACCTCTGCGTGGACAGCAAGCACGGCGCCACGGGAACCGAGCTGCGGCTGGACGTCTGCGTCAAGGACGGTTCGGAAAGGACCTGGTCTCACGAACAGGTACGTCGGCTCCGAGGAGCCGTGGCAGCGGGCGGGCACAGTGGGAACGCACCTCCAGATGGTGCTGTGGGACCCCGAGAGGGGTGGTCTGTCACTAAGCAGCCCTGTAGTTAAGCCAGTCACTTCTGTTTCTCTTCTCAAAGCAGCCGTGATAACCGACTAAGATACGGCGTGCAACTGTGCCTGCAATAATGGACATGCTGGTGGAGGTGTCGATGGTGACCCTCATCTTACTTCCTTTCCCAGAATGACAGTTTTCACAACACAAAGAGCCTGTCGTGCTTATTGGACTCTTCCCACTAAATGTCAAGGTTTCAGTGCAAGACTCTGTTGTTCTGTGTAGTGAGACAAACACTTCAGACGGACTCCTTGTTGTTGTAGCGGTTGTTAGTCGTAGGCATGAAGGGTGACTCTGAAGCAACCCCACCCCGGCGTGGGCTCCGTGAGATACTTTAAGTCCGTGTATTGCTCTTGATGGAAAAACATTTCCGTGCAGCTCAGTGTACGTGAGGTGTGATTGCTAACCCGCTCGGAAACCTGAGAGTCCTGTAAGCGGCTTTCCTTGCACTGTGTCACCTGCGAAAGAGAAAAGAGAGTGGGCAGAATTATGGCTGCCTCTTTTTGGTGGTTTAATTGTAAATCAGGAACTATTTCAAAGGAAACTATAGAAAATACCACAGCAGACATTTTTATACATCCGTCACACGGGATTAACAAGTATCGACATCTATTGCCATATTTTAAGAATAAAAATTTAGAAACAGTGGAAGCCCCTCCCCCAGGCTATTTCCCCGGGTTCAGGACCGTCTGCCCCGCCTGTGCTTTCAGTTTCCCAGAGTTGTCCATCGTGCCTCCACCGAAAACGTAAGCAAGCACTTCCCAGCACGGCGTCACTGCTCTCCCGTAGCTGGAAAAGGCCCACCACGCCCAGCCTGGGACGTGAAAGAATTGTCGGCTGCACTGAGATTCAGTATGTGGGCACCTCCCTCCCCTGCTGGCTCCCCCTGCGTCACCCTGCAGAGCAGCGTGGTGTTAGGGGAGCAGCATGGCCCGGAATTCATTCGGTCAGTCCACGCTGCCCCTCCTCCAACCACTGATCTGTCCTCGTACGCTCACCCACAGCCCCCTGGTGTTCTAGAAGGACTGTGGGCCTTGCAGTCAGGCCAACCTAAATTTGAGTTTAAACCATGTGGCGTTGTGAAATTGTTAAGTTGTTCTAGGCTGTAGTTTCTCCATCTTTAAATAGAGGCAGAAATGCCCGCCTCACGGACAGGGCTGTTCTGACAACAAACAGTGTCTATGATGTCACAGCTTCTTGCACGGGGAGCAGGAGCGGAGTAACGCACCGTCCTTTCTGCCTGCTCACACGCACCCACGAAATCCTTCATGCTAACACCAACTAGGGCCAAGGCAGCTAGCTGTGACGTTGGCTTCACTGATTATTCCCAGCATAGTCACTCGAACTATCCTGCAGTCTGTGGAAATTGCCAGATGGGTTTTAAAGAAGCCCCCGTGGCTCCAGGATCTACTGACAGGATAAAACATCGGTGGAAACTGACTCGGCCCCTCCCTCCTCTGTCTGTGTCTCTCAGCACCACGGGGGTGTTATCAGGACCCCAGTAACAGGGTTGGACTGTCACCTCCAGCAGGCAATTCCGACTTCAGCTTGGGGAACGCGAGAGAAGGCTTAAGCGGCTATCAGTAAGATGGCAGCTAGAGTGGAAAGGCATATTTTTTAAAGAGAAAAAGGAGCAAGCCCTAAGGAAAAGCTGCTCTCTTGGTCTCAATTCCCCTCCGCCACCTCTGTGCAGCCCAACCAGGAACCACACCCGGCCAGCTGGGGACAGGACGGGGGTCTGAGCGCCTGAATCGGGTTTAATATTTCTCTCCAGTAATGCTCTAGAATGAAATCCGCTCTGGCCTGAGGATTTTACATGACAGCTGAAAATGAATATAAACAAAACCGACTATATTGCATACACTTTAAAAATTATTGGTTCATTTCTTTTCCTCTCAGGCTAAACTGCAAAAGTCTATGGCCTGTAATGCAAGAAATGGTCACCAGAGGGCAGCACTAGACAAGCAGAAAACGCCACATAGGCTGACCAGAAAGATCAGCGAACGTAGCTCTCTGAAAAGGAGATTTCTGATCTCCGGAGATCCTAAAAATGGAGCTATACAGGAAGAGTAAACAAGGTTGACAGGAGGTAAAAAAAAAATACATCATATTTGAAACATGTACCACCACATATTGACTTGGAGGTTAAAACATTACAAGCTGCTTCCTTCTGCAGTAATTAACTGTCAGCTTTATTCAATACGTTACTCAGTGACTTATAAGAATTAGGACTCATTCTTCCACATGTAGATTAAAATTCTTAGATGAGAAAAGATGTATATCAGAACACGAACATTGTGAGCATTCTTTTTAATTCAGACGAGATCAGGCACATTCAGGGTGGCCTGGCAGTAGACAAGTATTCTTTTTAATTCAAAAGCATCCAAAGAACACCAAAGGGGTGCTTATTAGAGTTAAAATGATCCCTTTTCTTTCCAAAAAAAAAAAAAAATCAAGTGGCAAAATACGACACAAATAAATAAAATTGCTACATGGGAAATAAAGAAGAATCCCTGGAAGCTCCTATATAAGAAAATGCCTTCTGTTGCAGAACACCAGAGATGACTAATCCGCTTCTGTGAAGGAAGCAAATGCATGATTCATTTTTCCAGGGGAATCTCTGTAGCTGTTGGATATCACTGTCGCATTATGCACTGGTGCTCAGTTTCCTCTAGGGACCAAGACAAAAAATAAAAATAGATCCTAATAAGACTGTAAGGTCTGGAAAGAATACTCTCAACTCCTGTTGCGAGTCCAGGGGGGAGGAGCGGGGGGCCCTCCTTGGCCTGGTTTGGCTGTTGCCACTCTGCAGGCCCAGCGGGCAGCTGCGCCTCTGTTGTGCAGGGAAGAAGGCATTGCCCCGGGCCTCGCATCCGCTGAGGAAGCAGCCAGCGCTCCCTTTGCAAGACCTGGGGGGGAGACACGCAGAGATTGGACCAAGTCAATGCATGCAGTGGCGAAAGGACAGATTCCTTTCCTTTGGGAAAAGTAGTCTCACTGTGAGGTCAGAGCATGACGATGGGTACAAACTGCAGGGAGAAACATGCCATATCTCAGATTTCTGCAAAACACTTAACAACGAAATAAAATATAACTACCTGCAGAGAGAAAAAACATTTTCAATTGTCTCAAGTAAGGTAGCAAGAGTAAGATAATAAGTGTGTGTGTAGTACCAAATCTAGCGAGCTTATTCATTTAAACCCAGGCAAAACACTACAATGAAATAAGAGTTACCATTCTAAGTCTGTATTTAAAGTATCACTTGAAAGAAGAAAGATGAGAAATAAACATCTAAACTGAGAAATTCGAGGTTGAAAAAAAAAATCAGGGGTTATTGTACAGGAAACCTGAACAAAATCTAAACACCCGTGTCAGTAAGAATAACCCAAGGGAGAAGACAAACTGTGAACGTCACAGTAGCATTCCCCAAAGAAAACAACGAACATAGTGCCACGACGTCTGCTTGTTTCTGCTCCGACAAGACTGCACGCGGGAAAGGGTGCCTAATGATAAAGACTCAAGGCCTGATTGCTTTGACAAGGCCGTTAGGATAAGATGAATGGCAATGAAAAGCACTTCAAAGACATAAGAGAGAAAAACGTTAGCCAATGGTAGGTGCAGAAGAACAAAGCGATTGATAGAATCTAAAGGTGCCTCACCTGGGATGCAGGAAAGTCATCACCGGGCAGGAGTAACAACAATTACACATAAAACACTGTGGCAGTTCCAGGCCAGCAACCAGTCTGCAAGTGTAAGAATGATCGTCACATTGCAATACCAGAAACCAGACGCAAAAGTTACCTGAGGATGCCCTGATATATAATCGTGACAACAGATGAATGAATTTGTCCAAAGGGACAGATTTTCCTGTGTTTGCTATAGTTTTTAGGACTTAGCTGATCCATTTAATAAAAAGTATGAAAAGATCGTCTATAAAAGCAGCCTGTGCGCTTGAGGTACGGCTAGGGCAAGCCGTCCAACCTCCGCAGGCCGGATTTCCCCCAAGTGCCCAACAGGAACGGCGCTAAGCAGTGATTACAATCCCTTTCGAGAAGCTCTGGCCTTCAGAGTGCACAAACATCAAAAAGAGAAAGAGAGAGACAGAGACAGAGAGGAAAATGGATAAACAATCAAGGCCAGTCGTTCCTGCACTGGTCGAACTGCCTGCACTACAAGGGAAACATGATGTTTAAATAAAATGAAGGTTTAATCAAAGCCAGTGGCAGGTTTATAGACTGGGAAATTTCTATTCCAATGACAGGCAACTGAATCCAGAATCATCAAAGTTGAAAGTTCAAATAATAATTATCATTGATGTTGTTGTAATGAGACACACAGCACAGATTCATTTGAGATGAAAAAGACCGACGCACTGATCTCGACGGTTACGTAAACATACTTTCTGTTCATATAATGAGTACGAGTTTTATTTATTCAATAAAAATTGTGTTGATCATCTACTATGTATCATAAATTGATACATGTGTAAATTGATATGTGTGTCAAGGTGCTGGATAAAGAAGATCCAATTCCTGCCATCAGGACCTGACTGTCCAGTGAGGGGCAGAGGAAGATGAGCAGGCAGTCGGATGAGAGAAGGAGGGCGGGAAGGCGCAGGCAGAGAGGACAGGCCCTCGGATGAGCCGAGGCCTGAGATGAAGCGTAAACGCCTGAGGTTGGCTGGTGCACGCTGCGTGTCCGGCCAGCGGGACTCGCATGGACAGAGTCACGGCAGGGAGATTGCAGCCTGCCCCGTGCGTCGACTACGAACGTGAACTAAAAGGAAGGGGTGCGGCTGGAGAGAACAGCAAAGGCCGGATCGTGGAAAGCTCCTCAGAGAGCTCGGACTTTGTTCCCCAAGGTTTATGGGAAAAGGCGGTGGGACTTTAGTTTGGGAGGGAACACGGTCATCAAGCAGGCGTTTCCCACAGAGCAGGAACAGGGCGGAAGGGGAGAAAATCAACTGAGTTTGGAACGTGTTGAATTCGGGGTGTCAGTGGGACGTGCAGCTGGGACACTGCATGGACGGAACACAGACGGCGAGTCGTCAGCAGGTCGGCGAGAGCGGAGCTCAGAGTGTCTGCGACCACGCAGGGAGGGTGGCGCAGCGTCGAGGGACAACACTGTGCTGCAGAGATGGACGTAAGACAGGGTGGGCCAGGTGGAGTCACGGCGTGATCAAGGAGCACAGTTTTCCAAAGCCGGGAGAGTCGTGAGTCCTCATTGGAAAAGAGTGATTCAGATTAGAAACAGCTGCATAGACACTTTCCCGAGAAGTCGTTCTCCTGAGCAGGATTTAAATAAATCTAAAAGTGTCTCAGCCGGCTGGGTGGTGTGGCTCACACCTGTAATCCCAGCACTTTGGGAGGCCAAGGCGGGAGGATGGCTCGAGGTCAAGAGTTCAAGACCAGCCTGAGCAAGAGCGAGACGCTGTCTCTACAAAAAATAGAAAAATGAGTCAGGCTTGGTGGCGCCTGTAGTCCCAGCTACTGGGGAGGCTGAGGCAGGAGGATCGCTTGAGCCCAGGAGTGTGAGGTTGCATTGAGCTACGACCGTGCCGCTGCACTCCAGCCAGGGCGACAGAGCAAGATCCTGTTTCAAAACAAAGTCTCAGTCTGCAATCATATTTTAAAAAAACCTCTAGGAAAAGAGACTACACTGTTGCTGTTCGTGAATCTGTTCCAAATGCCTAACCTGAAACCCCTTGCCCTTCTATTTAAAATACTCTCTTTTGTCTCATATTCCAGAGAAACAGAGAAGCAGAATGTAGTCGGTCACTGTTACTTCCATATGTTTGATTTAGATCATTTCTTTCTTATGTTCTTCAAGCCACTGAACCCCGTTCTTTCCACTTTCCTTCAATGGCCCACTCCGGTTTTTGTTGGCATCCCTGGAATGTTGCGGCTCCAATAACTCAATAAAATGCCCTTCCCCTGCAGGAGTGTTTTTTGTTTGTTTCTTTGTTTATTAACTTAGCACACTGTAAAATCAATCTTAGTGCATCACATGTAGCATTTTTATCATAATATCATACAAGGGGACGGACAGGGCAGGATAGGCTAGACCAGGATGGGAAAACGTTGGAGGGACCATCAGAGTCTATTAAATGCAGTAACAGTAAATATCGGTTCGTGAACCTTCTGTTTGGGCTGGAGTCGGGGCAGGGCTGTGTGTGTGTGAACTGCATTTCTTACCGTGAGTTATGCCCTAAAACTTTCTGCACTGCCCTCAGAATTACTCTCCCCAACACTAGGAAATTAATTTCCTATTCTTTACTTCACCAAGTTTTGCTTTCCTTTAAATTAGATTTTTCAAGGTATTAGCGTCAATTCATCTTTACTCTACTCTATCTTTTTTTTTTTTCCAGTTCATCTGCTATTCAGGCTAACTGTGCAGCATTTGATCCGGTGACATTTTATCTAAACGTAAAACGTGAGGAGTTTTACTAAAGACTTTCTTCCTCTACCTCTCCTTCCTCCCTCCCTCCCTCCCTGCTTTTCCTCCTCCTTCTCCTTCGACCTCCCCCCATGTCGTCCTCTGTATTTTTCCTGGTACCTGAATGGAAACTCCTCGTTTGCATTTTTTGGCAGCCTGGGCGAAGGTGCAGCGGTTGCTGCTACAGCGCTTCACCGTGCAAAGACAGTCTTCCCGGCAGATGACGGAGCGGCAGTGCCACGTCACTCAAAGACATTTGTTTCCCCCTGCTCTGGAATCTTCTCCCCAAAGCAAACTCACTGCAGCTTTCTGCTCTTGTTGCTTCGCCAGCTCTTCACGTTCGGGTGGAGAGAAGATATCCGGCCTGGGGAGCCCCTGCACACCCGCAAGTTCTGCTTCGACGCGATCTCGCACCGCAGCCCGGTCACCCTCTATGACTGTCACGGCATGAAGGGGAACCAGCTCTGGGGCTTCCGGAAGGTAAGGGTCAGTTCGTGGGGTTGTTCTCAAACTGCCGTGGCTAACTCAAACTTTTCTTTGAAAGCACTCTGTTTTCATTTAAAGTGTGACCTGGACATGCACCCACACATTCGGCTCACATACTCGGAGACCACCGGCAAGGACGAAGGGAAGGACAGCGTGTAGGAAGGGGACGTCTGGCTTTTTATGCTGTGTGTGCATCCCTCACAATCAGTAACGACTGATTGTTCTGGCTTTGAGCCAGGACGGGTCCGCGTAGCCGGGCCCACTCCCAGGAGAGGGAACCACGTAGCCAGCACCCATACACAGACACGATCCTCAACAGCCACGATTCTCAACACCGCAGGAACACACCCATCCATCTGCCACGCAGCTCACTCTGGGAGGTGTCTGAGTTAAGACAATCACTTTTAAACAAATATTTATACAGCTATGTAGACATAATTGCTGTGACTCGTATACGGAGAGCGACACATTTATGAGATGGCCAAAATTCTGCCCGAATGTAGCCAAGAAGAACGTATTTGGGAAATGTAAAAGCTTAAAGACTTATAAAGTTAACACTTGCATAATAGAAACAATCATTCAAAAACTAATGTAGAGTCACATTTTGAGTTAACAAATGAAGAGCCACTAAATTACCGCTTTAACATATTTTCATTACACTTCCTCTTGACAACTTTTTAGAATACTATACGAAATTATTTTCCAACTTCTCTGCTTATTGAGGCAGGACTCGACTATTGCTTAGCAAGTACCCCCTAAGCTCCATCCTGTCCCCAAACCCGCAGAACGGCTGGGGCCTCTCCAGCCAGGGGGAAGGTGCCCCCGTTTGCCTTTTCGAGCTGTGGCACAAGCCAGCCTGACATTGGCCACAAGGAAAATGAAACGCCCTCCACCTTAGTCGTGGGCTCGGCTAGCCTGTGGCTGAAGCAAGGTCAAATCACAGAAAGCCGAAGAGAGGAAGCTGTGGGGAGTCAGTATGGGGACACTGCTTGGGACACTCGTCCCCTCACTTGAGGAGCATTCTGCTTTAGAGGTCGGTGCCTAAAGCTGTGCTCACTCCTGGCGCAGTTGTTAGTGGGTTTATGCCACGTGCGGTCCACACCCCAGCGCCTGGCGGACTCTGGCTGTGCTTCCAAACAAAGTACACGGCAGCCGTGGCAACGCCCTTCCACAGAACCATCTAAAATCGAAAGAGCTAATAAGAAGATGGTGTCAGATGAAATATGGAGGGGGGAATTGTCGCAACAGGAGAATGTCGTTGTTTTCTTTAGAAATGTATCGTAAATGATCAATCTTATCAAACTCTTTTGCTATTCGGCATGATACAGTCTGTGTGTGGTGCAGTAAAGTAGTGGGTTTTTTAATGGTTGTATTCTGACCTTAAAGGAGTTACTTTCTGTGCACGTCAATAAAATGCCTCATTTGCCATTTGCCCAGTATGTTGGTGGTCCCTAATGAACAGAACACTTCTCATTACTGTATATTTATAGCTTGACAGACAGACCACTCAATAACATGCAATTAAGCCAAGAAAATACAGTTGTTTTCATTAGGGAGCTTACAACAGCTTACAGAGGGATAAGACCAACTAATGCACAGAGCTCCTGGGGAGGAAAAAACAACGGGCTGTGGTGATTTCAAGAGGCAACTCTTAGGAGCTTTAACACTGTAAACCTTTCCAGGGCCCTCAGGGATCTGTGAAAGGAAACCTCTAGATGCAGCGGTGCTGTTGCTCTCTCCTCGGGTCTCGCAGCCGGTGGCCCTGCATTACTTAGCGAAAGGTTGCACTCAATGTGTATTTATATACAAGCGAGGAATTTATACTTAATCAGGAACATGCCAAAGGCTCAAAATGGAAAGTTTATGAAATATCTCATCTTGGTCGATGATTCAGCCTATTCAAATGTACCTGCTTTAGAAAATTCCTCTTGTTTTTTCCAGCGGCTATGCCCAAGGCATAAAAAACTGAAGCACAAGGAGAAGAATCTCTCTGGGGAGCTACCTTGTCTATGCAGATGCACTACTTGTCTCTAGGGGCTTCCAACAGCTTAGCAATCTTTTGAGGCTGCTTTGGAGCACCCATTTTATTAGCATATTCATGAGTCAACCCAGGTCCCTAAAACTACTGATTGCCTACAGGGCTGTGTGGGCCGTCGCCTAAGTTCCTAAGGTCATCATCATCATCATCATCACCTGACTGGGAAGGAGGCGCTGAGCTAGTGCTTTGCACCCATTACCTGAAACCTCAGAACCACCTAGGTACTGCTGTATACAATTTACAAGGAAGAAACTGACAGCAGCAGATTTGTGGCAGAGCCAACATTCAAACGCAGGTGAATCTGACTTTAAAGTCTCTACCCTTTCTCCTGCCATGCTCCTAAGAAATAAGATCAATATTCCCTAGGAACTCTCCCCAATTCTTGTTGGATTCAGAGCCACTGGTACCAGCCACCTGCTCTCTCCCAGCTCCAGGGAGTCTCTTGGAGGGAGAAGGTGGCCAGGGCCACTGAGCTTACGTGGGTGAAGGTGTGGTCAGGCCCCACTCTGCTCTCGGCAGCTGTCAGCGTTCGGCTATTTTCACACGTGGCCCTCTGCCCCCGGGAAAGGAGAAGAGCACCCTTAGTCTGTGATACTGCAACTGTGCTCAGTTGCGCAGCCGTATCCCGCAACAGCAGGTGCCCAGGGTGAGGAATCCCGGTCTTGCTTTCGTTTACCACCAGGGGGATCCCTGTTACAAGAACGGTGAACTGTTGCAGCAACCTCAGTAAAAATATTTAAGTCATCACCTAACATCCAAAGCAAGAAACTCTCCTCTTCCTCAGCCCCCACATCTAACTGGTCACTAAGACGTGTCACCTCCTCCCCCAGCCATCTCCCAAATCCATCCCGTCTTTGCCGTTTCCACAGCCCTACCGTGGTGCAGGCCTTGGCATCTTAACCCCGGGGTTATTGCAATGGCTTCCGAAATGGTGGCCCCGCCTCCTGACCTTCCCCTTCCCACCCATATTCCATCCCGACGTCAGAGACGGTGCCCACAAAATCCGGTCATTGCATTCCTCTGTTTTATAGTTTCACCTGGTTTCTCAATGAGTAGAAGATAAAGTACCTTCCCCTCTCAGTTCTCATGCTGATCTTTCCAGTCTGGTCCTAGTCAGGCCTAACACACCCTAATGCATCGTGAAATTATAACGATCAGTCTTAAATAAGTTATTTTACATCTATGGCTACTTTCCACTTCTTCATCAATGCAACAGGGACAATAATTAAGTGAGATAAGCTATGCAAAACTCTAACACAGTTTCTGACCATACGATCGAATTTCCATCTGTGCGGGTGACAATGCGCGCTTTACATTGACAATCGCGGTGGAGGTATACCCTGATATGCCAGATCACTAAAGCTATCTCTCCTACGCAATGTTAACTGTTGTTATCCCCCCAAAATTAAGAGCTATTGCCCATGCCCTTTTTTAAGTAAACATTTTATTGATGTATAACACATGTCTTAATTTGGGTTTCCCCAGACATATAACCTAAAGTAAGAATTTGAGTGCAAGTGGTTTATTTGGGAGATGACCACCCCCCCTCCAAAATCTTGGTAGGGAATGAAGAAGTGAAATGGGGAAGGGGTGGGAGCCAATAAAGGGTTATCAAGCAGGTACCGTTGCAAGCGACTGGAGCTCAATCCTACTGAAGAGCCCTGGAAATGGTGTAGAGCTGCAGTCCCCAACCCCCGGGCCGCGGCCGGGTACCATTCGTAGCCTGTCAGGAAAACCCGTGAAACTGGTCCCTGATGCCAAAAAGGTTGGGGGCCGCTGGTAGAACACACATCAGAGAGCAAGCGGTGGGGTGTTTATACACCAACGGTGGGTATGAATCTGTGGTTAGGATTAGCTCCTGACGGGAGTTTATTCTCCGACACCTCTAACCTGCTGCTCTTACAGACACAGCTATTCTTGAGGCCACAGGAAGTCCTTAGCAGAGAGACGCAGTGGCCACCCAGCTGGAGATTGGGCCAGGGCGCACTGGCACGGGAGGGCCTGCAGGGCTGTGGGCAGGACACAGACGCGTGTGACAAGCCGGTGGCTCCGCATCGTCACGGACACTTGGCATTGTCGGTTTCTGTTTCTCTTTTTATTCCGTGATTGTAAAGTGAGATTATGTTTGTTCACCATTTTGGATGTCTTTGGGAAGGACCTGCTCGAGTCTTTTGACCATTTTTAAACGTGGGTTGTCTGCCCTTTTCTTGAAGATTTTTAGGGATTTTTTAAGTATATCTCGGTACAAGTGCTTTGTTGTGTGTGTATTGCGACATCTCATTCTGGTCAGTGTCCTGCCTTTTTCTGTCTAGTGGAATGTCTTAAGGAAAAGCTATTCTTTGTGATTAGTGTTTTTTTGTGCTCTGTTTAGGACATCCTGGCCTCCACCAAACTCATGAAGATAGTGTTCTAAGTCATCTTGGGAAACTTTGTTGTTTGATATTCTACCTTTTGGTATATAATTCCCTGAAAGATTTCTATGTGTGTAATGTAAGATAGGGGTTGATTTGTGTGTAGAGAGAGATAGAAATAGAAGACGCAATAAGTCAATCACCATTATTTAAAAGAACAATTTTCCCCACTGCACTGAAGGGGCACTTTTGTTGCAGGGCGCGAGAATTTACATACACTGGTCTGTTGTTAAATTCTCAAGTTTTTACCACCTGACTAAATAGTCTTGGCCATGCAGAAAGTGAGCTAATGCAAATAAACTAACTTAAACCTAGTAAGGGGCATAAACAAAACCCACAGCCACCATCACTGTTGGTGGTAAAATGTTACAGCTTTCCTACAGAGACTGGGAATAAAATAGAATGTTAGCTATAATCATTTCTGTTCAACCTTGTACAGGATATCCTAGTCAGTGTAATCAGGCAAGATAAAAAACTTAAAGGTACAAGAATTATAAAGGAAGAAATAAAGCAGTATATTCACAGATGACATGTTTGGGTATTTG